TACAGGGTTTTTAATCTGTTCTCCGTCTTCCTACACAGATAAAAACGCGTTATTACTTGAGGTTAGAACGTGGGACGAAACCTCATTTTATGCATCCCCCCCGCCACACAGGACCAATACGTTAATCTTCCTTTCTTGACCCAAACTTGATCAGTTCTTCGTTCGTAATGTTGTCTCTTTGGCCTTTCCTGGAGAAATTCACCGTATCGTTGTTGTGCTTCCATTCTTTTGATTCCATCGATCCATCTTCTTCTCTAATCTCAATCTTTATAATCTTATTCCCTATTCTGAAATAGGACTCATGATAGACATAATTATGAAATTCATAATTTCTGATAGAATAAAATTATGAGAGACATAATTGTGAAAATTATAATTTATAATGGAATAAATTTGATAATAGACATAATTATGAGATCATAATTTTTGACGGAATAAAATGGATGATAGACATAATTATGAGAATCACGATATCTGAATAAGATTGACAGACATAATTGTGAGAATCATAATATTTGAAGAAAAAAAATTGTATAATTATGAAAATCATAATCGATGGTGAGAAGCATAATTTAATGGGGTTAATGGATGAAAGATATAATTTATTTGGAAAAAGGAAGATCGTGGTGTTATAATTATAAAAAAGGGTCATGATTTTGAGTATAACAAGAGTGTTAAGAAATATATATATTGATATAGTAAATTTTTTGTAGATGGCTTCCTATTTCAAAATAGGGAATAAGATTATAAAGATTGAGATTAGAGAAGTAGATACATCGATGGAATCAAAGGAGTGGAAGCACAACAACGATACGGTGAATTTCTCCAGGTAAGGCCAAAGAGACAACATTACGAACGAAGAACTGATCAAGTTTGGGTCAAGAAAGGTAGATTAACGTGTTGGTCCTGTGGGGGGATGCATAAAATGAGGTTTTGTCTCACGGCTGTTCTAACCTCAAGTAATAACGCGTTTTTATCTGTGCAGGAAGACGGAGAACAGGTTAAAGACCCTGTAGGAAGATAGTAATTAAAGGAGGGTGGCGGTAATGTTGTGATGTAACTCAAATTTGAATATTTATTGTACTTGGTTTTTTAAATTTGTATATTTGATTATTTTTGTACGGGAATTTTTAGATTTAATATTTAGTTTTTTGTATATTTTATTTATGACTATTTTTTTATATTTGAATGTTTAATTGGCCACCAAATATACTCTCTAGCTTTTCTTCATTCTTTCTATGCCTTGATGTCCAGCATGTACCGCCTAAAATATCTTTTTTTAAAGAATCTGGTATCACTAATCGATATCCTCTCATTAGACAATTCTCTTTTATACTTAATTCGCTCTTAATGTTTTTAAATGCTATATCTTCTTTTTTCCACTCTATATCTCCCTTCTGACAGCTCTAATCCTCTTTAATTCTTCATCTTGTTCCAATGTTTTATCTACCAAATCTATTGTTAAAGGGGTTTCCTTTGTATCTATTCCTTTGGCTCTTATAACATTAATATTTAATTCCTTTTCTTCAATTATATATCTTAAACTATTAATCGTGGGCTCTATTTCTTTAGTACATAATCTCGATAATATATCTGGTAAACAATTTATTTACCTGTTTTAAACTTTATTTCAAAATCGAAATTTCCTACCAACAAACTTTTAGTCAAACCAAACTGCTAACGCTGATTTTTCTATTGTTGAGTAATTTTTTTCTGTTTTATTAAACTGTCTGGACAAAAATAAAATAGACTTCTCTATATTATCAACTATTTGTAACAAAGCTCCTCCTATACCTTCCTGAGATGCATCCACTGCTAAAATAATATCTAATGTCTCATTAAAACAATTCAAAATAGGTTTTTCTACCATTTTAATCTTTAATATTTCAAAACTTTCGTTCTGTATCATTCCCCATTCAAATTTTCTATTTTTCTTCAATTAATTATATAAATGTGTAGCTATTCCAGCGAAATTCGGTATAAAACGATGATAATAATTAGCCGCTCCTAAAAACGCTTGAAATTCCGTTTTATTATACGGTGCTCTCATGCTCACCATCTTATCTATATTCTTTGTGATCGGAGAAATTTCATTTCCTTGTATTACATATCCTAAATATGTTATTTCCCTTACTCCAAGAACACTTTTATTACATTAGTTTTTAACCCATTTTCTAGAATTATGTCTAACACCTTGCTTAATCTCATAATATGTTCCTGTTCTGTTCTACCTGAAATCAAAACATCATCTAAATAATACATTATTCCACTTAAACCTTTAGATAAAGCAGCCATGGTTCTTTGAAATATTGGAGCAGACACTTTCCCAAACGGTAATCGGTAGAATGCAAACAACGATGTGTTGTAATTGTCAAAATTTTACTTGTACTCTCGTTCACTTTAATTTGTAAATAAGCATTAGAAAAATCTATCTTCAAAAAAAAATCGCTCCTTTTAAATTAGCCAATAATTGCTCTATTCTTGGTAAAGGATATTTAATTGTCATAATCCTAGGGTTCACAGATATCCTATAGTCTATGCACAGTCTTACTGTTATCATATTTTCTTACAGGGACTAATGGTATAGCCCATACACTATGAACTATATCTTATTATACTTTCCTTTAACCATTTGTCAAGTTCTTTATCTATTTCTTCTATCCGTGAAAAGGGTAATCTTCTTATGCTACCAAATTTCGGCTGATAATTCTTTCTAACGTATATCTACTTCACAATTTTTTAGAGTCCCTAATTCCCCTTTAAAAACATCTTTGTATCTAATCAATATATTCATTATTTCCTTGCTGAACTTGTTCTCAACCACATTAGATTCTATGTTGCTTAGTTTCAACTGGCGTTACCTCTAATGAGTTTATATCTCTTAATAACTTATTCTCTTCTACATCATTTCTATATCTGATCAAAAATTCTGGAGTTCGATTTTTCAGTTCATCGAGAACTAACTCAGTATTATCCTTATTGCTTTGTCTTATATTTTGTTGTTCTCATAGACAGTTTCAAACAAGGACCACCAAGTATAATCAGAACATATTCTTAATGTCATTACAACCTAAAATAGGCTCTATTTTTAGTGTAGTAGTAATCCACCAACAATATTTTGCAATGAATCTTTCTTTCAGAAAACATTTATTAAATTCTTTTACACTCATTAAACTAATCTCGGCTTCTATCCAATAAAAAGCATATTTTAATTTCACCTATTTTTATCTTAATCCTAGGCATTTACTTTTCCTTATTATCTTTTCTAACTCAATTTTACGTACATTTTCTATTTCAACTTTTTTTTCAAAAAAATTTCTATCATCAAAATTATATTCATTCATATATTTTAAATCAATCCTATTTTTATCATTTATTCCTAAATTATTATTAAAATTATAAAAATCACACATACTATTAATTTTATCATCTATAACATTCATTTTTATATAGTCATTTATTACACGCTTCTTGTGCATGTCCTCTTTGACCACATTTTAGACATATTAAATTATTGTAAAAGAAACTTCTACAATTGGTAGTTATATGGCCCTTACCATATTTCGCGCAATTGAGATGTCTGGTTAACTCACATTGCCTCGAAATATGTCCATATTTTCCACAACTGCAACACTTAACTGACCTAACATTATCTAACTGACTTATCCTATTTTCTTTCTTATCACATTCCTAATTTTTTCTAGCTCTTTATTTTCTAATTTTATAAAAGATGTGTTTCTTCCTACTATCATTCCTAAAATAAAACTTAAATTTAGAAACAAGAGTACAATTATAAATTTATTTGTGTAATATACATTATAACGTAATCAAACACTAAATTACCACTATCTTAACTAATCTTAAAGAATTAATGGAATATAAATTATTAATAAAATATATAAATATATATTTATTTTTATTTTAGTTCCAAAATTTTATGGAATAGTATAATTATTAGACTAAACCTCCTAACGGGCTGGATTTTACAAATTTGGCACCACTGTTAAGATTGGGTTTATTGATAATATATATTGAAGTGTTTAAGGGGAAATGGTAGGGATTCCTGGAAAATTTGTAGATTAGTGGAAGTGTAAATATGATAATATACTGTAGAAGTGATATCTAGAAATAGAAGAAAAATATAAATTAAATTAAATAATTAAATATTGGCTAATTAAAAATAATTTTATTAAATTCTTTAAAAACGCAAAAATTTTATTAAATTTCCAAAATGCACGTAATTACCAAATTTTATAATAATGTAATATTTTATAAATGTTTGGGTTTTTATATTTTCTTTTATTACAATAAGAATTAATATTCAAAAATTCGAAATTCATAACTTCATAACAATTTTATAATAATTTAATATTTAATATTACATTAAACATTCAAATAAAAAAAACTAAATATTCAAATATATTCATAAATAAAATATACAAAAATAAACTAAATATTAAATCTAAAAATTCCCGTACAATAATAATCAAATATACAAATTTAATAATCCAAGTACAATAAATATTCAAATTTGAGTTACATCATAACAGTTCAATCATGTTCCTGTCTGATGTACTATTATATTAGCACTTTTATATTTTCTCACGTACCTTTCCACCTGCCTATTCTACCCTCGCTGCCAACAAAATAAAATTAATTTTATTGATATCACATGCCATACTCAGGTATTACAATTTCTGGTTTACTTCACTAACATAATTTCGTTTACGTGATTATCACCAATCCATTAGTATATACTGCAAATTGCTAGCTGCAACTATTTTAGATTTTCAGGTAATATTTCTTCTACCTTGTCCACTCCCCATAGAAAAATCTGGCTATACCACTATTTAACATTTATAACTGCTCCCATTTTTATCATGTTCATTTACAATGATCGTAAATTAGAAGGATGGGTATTATTTACTTTCCGAATTTAATGTCGCAATAAAATATGAAAAAAATTGTAATCATATTTTTTTATACAATCATATAACAAGGTTTTGTCAGGCCATACCGGTCCTGTGACCTCGGTCCAATTCGATTCCCTCAACAACACGTTAGTTAGTTGCTCCTGGGATGGAAACCTCAAAGTTTGGGATGTTTTTGGCACAAAAACCTGCAAAGAAAGTTTCCTTCTCGGTTCCGAGGGTATAATATATTATTTTTTTATGAATGGCTATCTATATATGTTGTAGTCTTGAAGAATATGGATATACTTTTTTTAATCAACCAATATTTTACTAATTTTTAGTAAAGAATTATGTATATTTTTCCCATCTGGACATGACTCTAAAAAATTTATATTATATGTATTTTATACCAAAAGATTTTAAAATTGTTGATATGGAGTATATTTTTGGAAATTTAAAAGCGCCCTACTTGACTAACAAGGCTTTTTAGGAATTTTTTCAACATTCCTATAATCCATTACGATCAAGCCCAACATTTTTAAAGAAATCGCATCTATTGAGATTCGAGTCCAGAAAATACTTAACCTTCAAGTTTACAGACATAGCTTAACATCAAACCACACTATCTTCTTATAAATTGGGATATACAACTTGTAAAAAACTCCGTTGATTACCTTATTTCGAGTCTTTCGCCTTTGGCTATGAACTTATCAAGGATTGGGTAAAATTTTTAGAAATCATTCCATCTAGGAATCTCAAACAACATTCCTTTCTCATTGCCAAATGGATTCAGCAAATGTTATACTGATGATGATAAAATATGGCGCTAGATCCTTTGCACTGTAATCGCAATCCCGATCGAGAAATCCGACACGAAGTCAACCAAATCCCTTGCACTGATATCAGCTGGTTTTTCTACCTCATTGGAACCCTCTTAATTTCTTTCCCGATAATAGACATCAAGATGCAATCACGCAAATTCTATGGTCACAATGTAAGTTTCTGATATGGGATTTTTCAAGCCTGGGCTTCCAATTTTAATTAGAAGATCACAATACACCACTGATTCGTCAAATTCTTACCAGTTATCAGCTCTACTTTAACAACATATGAGGATTTGGCTAAAAAATTCTTTGACGTCGACCTCCAAATCAAGATAAATTGTGAAGAGCCACATGAAGGCTTTTACTTAGGCAAAGGATCCGCAATAGCTATTCTTAAAGCTAATTGTTTGTTTTATTAATTTGATCTCTCTTAGTATTTTTCTTTCTAAAGAGGACTTTTATACGAAAAATTTCTTAAAATATTTGATATCAGATATTAGTTTTATAAATATAATTATACTGTCATATATTGCATTATATATATGTGTTGCTCACAATTGTCAATGGAAATTGTAAATATTATGTTATTAAGATCATAGGATTTATACTAGCTAGGGATTTTAAATAAGCTCTTTAAAAAATAACTATATAATTATCAAATACTTCTAATGCAATTTGATTAACTCGATATTATAATATTAAGTGTAGGAAGGTTATAATATTGTATTTACAAATATAATATTCTCATTATAACCTTTTAAAATATATAAGATATTAAGATATAACATAACTAACATATTATTTTTCTTTATACAAGCAAGGATTTTTAATTGGCTCGTATAAAAAATAACGATCAAACGATTTTATGCGAACTCAGGATTTTTTACAATCTCGCATAAATCTTTTATTTTTAAAAAATTGTTATATTTTTAAAAAATTGATATATTTTTAAAAAATTGATATATTTTTTAAAAATTGTTATATTTTTTAAAAATTGTTATATTTTTTAAAAATTGTTATATTTTTTAAAAATTGTTATATTTTTTAAAAATTGTTATATTTTTTAAAAATTGTTATATTTTTTAAAAATTGTTATATTTTTTAAAAATTGTTATATTTTTTAAAAATTGTTATATTTTTAAAAAATTGTTATATTTTTTTGTACTACCATTTGAGCATCATTTATACGAGCGTAGGTAGAACCAATGTAAACTATATATATAACCAGGGTTGGGCAGTATCGCGGATATTTGTATCTAAGATATTTTTTGGAAAGTTTCCTGTATCCAGTATCTAAGATACATATTATTTAAAAGTATTTGTATCTTAACCAACTTTGTATTCAAAAAGATACAGATACTTTAAAAAAAATTTATATTGGTTAATTTAAATAGTATTAAAATTTAAAATGATATTGTTTTAAGATTTAAATGAAAAATTTAATCAAAATTTAGATATTTTAAGTTAATTTTTGATATATGACGTTGGTCGTCATATAGCAATTTGCTAACAATTAGAACTACCATATTTGAATTGTTTTATATCTGTCTATTTTAAAATTATGGAAGAAGAAAATAGAATAATATGTTTATCTTCGTCTTCAGATGATTCTTCAACCGAAAATTATAAAAATAAATTTAAACTAAGCATACTTAATGGCAAATTTTTTGAAGTACTTCAAGATGATCATAATAAAGAAATTCATCGTGACTTTGGTATTGACGAAAAAGTTATAGCAACTGTTACAGATAACGGCTCTAACTTTAAGAAAACTTTCAAGGAGTTTGGATATTCTGAATGTATAGAATTCGAAATCATTGAAAGTATTTTTAATACTTCTTTAAAATTTATTACGATATTGTAAATTTAGTAAAAAATTTTATTCAAATAAAATTATTTATTTGTTTATTTAAGGGTCTAAAGAAGCCTCAATAACATTGCCTCAACACATTCGTTGTTTGTGCCATACGATAAGTCTAATTGCCACGACAGATGTCGAGAGAGCTATTAAGGATTCTCCTAACATTTCTAAAATTCATCATCCTGCAATAGCTAAATGTACTAAGCTATGGAATGCAAATAATAGGCCTAAAACTGCAGAACTTATCAAAGCAGTTTTAGGAAAACAATTAGTTACACCTTGTTGCACTAGGTGGAATAGTTTGTATGATAGTCTTCATAGTTTATTAAAATTTAAAGGCGAACTTCTTAAATTATGTCAAAAATTAGAATTTCCTAAATTAAGAGATATTGAAATTCAATATTTAGAAGAATATTGCAATATAATGGCCCCATTGGCTATAGCGATTGACAAATACAGAGTGAAATCAACTGCTATTATGGAGAATCAGCTCCAATTTTAAATGTTAAAAAAAAATAATTCAAACTAATCTACAATTTTGCAAACCATTAGCTGTTGCCATAGAAAATTATTTAAATAAAAGATTTAACAATTTTAAAAGTGCATTTTTGGCAACTATTTCTCATCCCTATTTTAAAAATCGTTAAATTGATGGTGAAAAAGAAAAAAATTACCTTCAGGATTTGTTATTACATGAAGTTTTAATTGTTTTTAAAAATAATATTGAAATTAATACTTCAACAAAATCTTAAATTGATGAAGATGATGATTACTTTTGCCTTAAAAGTACCACATCGAATTCTAATAATTCAATAAATGATATTGAAATAGAGGTCCTAAATTATATGAAAGATGACAGGCGGATATAAATATGTTAAATAGTTACAAATATATAAAAGAAATATTTATTAAATATAACACAATATTACCCTCCTCAGCCCTCGTTGAAAGATTATTTAGCTTTGCTAATATGGTTAATAGACCAAATCGTCAAAGATTGAACGAAAAATTAATAATATTAAAAAATAATGCTGATTTATTATTCGCATTATCTTTTATAATAAATTTGTTATTTTCTACAGTTTATTTTAAATATTTTTTTATAAATTTATATTATAGATAAGAAAATAAAGCTTTATACATTTTGATTTTGACTATTTAAAGTTTTTTAAAAAAGTATCTTGTATCTTAGATACTTTTTTTTTAAAAAAATACAAGTATCTTATATCTTATTGAAATTTTTCTATAGTATCTTGTATCTTAAATACAAAATTTTATAAAGTATCTGTATCCGAATATAAATTTTCTAAAAATTAGCCCAACCCTGTATATAACCACAATTATACCTAAATACTAACACATTTTTATTATAATATTATTTATACATGGTTTTATACAAAAGGTATTTAAATCATATATATTAAATTGAAATTTTAAATTACAATTATATGAGATTGAATATAGTAAATTGAAAGTTTTTATTAATTTTATTTATTATTTAAATTAATATAATATAAAATATCATGGTTGTAATTTATATATAAAAAACAAGTATAATTGTGTTAAAAAATTTCTAGTTGAAGTTTTTTTTAAGAAATATGGATTCGCGTTTTTCGTAAAATAAATATATAGACTGGGAAAAATGCCGTTAGTTTATATGACTATTGACTGAAATATAGTTATTTAATTTTGAATATTTATTAATTTTTTTATTTTCCCTGCAAGTAAGAGGGTTTGAATTAAATGATGAAGGAAAGGAGGAGACTTAGGTTGCGTCTCAAATAAAGGATTTCCCGTTGGACCAGGGGGTACAGGTTAAACCGTCGGGTCTGAGGCCGTCCTGTAATAAAAGGTTGGTTCGAGGAGGATGTTAGGTATTTTAGCCTTATTAAAAGCGTTATGGATGATTTTATTAATTGCTTTATGCCGGAGGTGGCGACCTTGGCTGCGTGTGCAGTTTAAGCCGTGTCAGGCTTTAGGTTGAACTGGTAAATTGCATTGGTTGCAAGAGTATGGCTGTGTAATCGAGCATCCAAGTCGAAATCTTATAGTAACTCTCAGTTGGTCATTAGTTAAGAGATTATATAAGGTTTGGTAAGGCTATTTTGTAGTTTCTTTATTAGGGGTTCGATAATAGATTTGTTGGAAATTTCGGTTGTAAATGTTAAACCATCTGGGGTAAGTTGATTCCATCGTTCGATTGCTGCTGTTAGTAGATCATCATTGGGAGCTATGAATGATGAGATAGCTGAATTGAGGGATAAGCGATTTGAGATTCCAAGGGAATCAAGTCTATACCACCTAGTTTAGCTGGTAATTGGGCAAGGTGCCAATTAAAGTCTGATAATGAAAGGTTGAGGATCCTTTCTATAATGGTTAGCGAATATTGTGTTGATTGAAAAATTTTGAGGCCAATTATACTTGTTTTCTATATACATATCATTATTAAATTAAGCTCTTTTTAGAGCCTTCGATACTTATATATTTATTTTTATTTAGTAATTTTATGCAATGAATTTAATTAATAATTCAATGTATTATATTTTTTTATAATTTATTTGGTCGCTCTTAGTTCTAACATTGTTAATATAGTTTAATTCGTTTAAAAAAAATAATATATTATTATTAGAAATTTTCATATATTCTTTTTGTGTTAATTTATTGAAATAAATTATAATAATTTTAATTAGCAACTCTTGACATAATATAATAGTGGTGCTAATATAGGATATTAATATCTTTAAAAAAAAGATAACGACCAAGTCATTCTTTATAAGAAAAATTAATTTTTTATAAAATACAGTGCATTCTTTATAGGGAAGTTATTTTTTTTATTAGATACAGGAACAAAGATCAGCTTGAATAGTGTAAAAGGTTTGAATAAAATTTGGCCAGTAAATGATTTCGTAGCAAGAAAAATAAGAGCTAATTAGATGGTAGTATTGTTAAAAATTTCTGGTTTTTATGTGATGAGATTGATTAAAAGACTTTAAAGGGATAATTTTGTGTCATTTTATTCGTGTTCGTATATTTCGAATGGAATATCGAATAGTTTTCAATAGGCATATTCGCAATCATTGATTATCCAAAATTGCTCTAAACGCTAACTTTTTACCTAAATCCCTTTTCAAAATTTTACACTTTTCAATCCCCCTTTTCTGTGTCCTAACTCTATTTCTCTTCTATCTCTCTTCTATCATGCTAATTAAAAGCACTCGCGTCATCCATTCACCCAGCCGGATCTGTTATTGCCGTTTCAACCTTGAACGGCCACATTACCTTCTGGGATACCAAAGAATGCTTGATATTATGCTCGATAGATGGCGGCAATTACGATTTACAAAGTGGAAGGGCCACCGAGGATCAGATTACGGCTAAGAATTCATTGAAAAACAAGTTATCTTTAAGAATTAAAAACAATTTTTTAAATTAAATTTTTTTTATTTAAGTTATAACACATTTTGGTAAACATTATGCTTATTGATACACTAGCTATTATATATATTTATGATAGTTAAGGTTACCAAAAATTAAAATCATTAATGAGATCTTGTCTCTAATCGTAGATCTCAGTATTTGCAAATTGATTTCAATTTTTTTTTTCATAACAAGCACTAAGGCCTCCATAAAATATTCGTATTCGATTCGTAAATTTTGAATCAAATAATTAATAATTCATTAAACTTAAATTTTTCAGATATTTATTTTAAAAATAGGCATATTTGATTCGTAAATAATTCAAAAATTAAACTGGATTCCAAAATTTATACTGAAATATGCGATTCAAAAATGTTAGGAATAATACAGAATAATTTAAATTTATTACTTTAAATTTTTTAAATTATTTTTTGATTTGAATTTTCATAGATTTCCAATCTTATTTGTAACACCCATGCAGGCGCGTAACCAATGGGACGTATAGGGGGAAATTCCCCCACCCTATCTCAAATTTGACTGTTTTCATAAATATCATTTTAAGCTAATAAAAATTGCCCACCTCCCCTTTCAGTCAAAATTTTGCAAATATTTGAATATCAATTTTCCAATATAAAACTTATTTTTAAAATTAAATTTTATTAAAATTTCCTTTCCTTGATTTTATTGATGATAAAAAAATTATACATCATAGGTGATATACAAATATAGAAATTTTTTTACAGTTATATGAGAGGGGAGGCCCTCGCCCTAACTATTTTGTTAAATTTAAAGAAATATTAGCTAAATATAAATTTAATGTGAGGACAAGGTTATAATGGTCAAAGCACATATTTTAAAAAAATTAGCAATATCCGCTTCACATGCTCTACCTTCTATACGCAAGGCCATGAGTATTTTAACTTATAAAATAAATATAATATATTTTTAGCCATTATATCCAAAATTTATGATTTTTTTAAATATCCGAAGCGGTCAGATGTTTATCGAATTATATTAATGAATGAACCAGAACCCCATCATCAAAAATTTTTAAAAATGTGCCCTATTCAGTTACGGCATTTATAGAACTGGAAGAGAATATCAGAATAAAACAGATAATTTAACCACATTATATTTATCATGAAGAGGTAATTTTCTAAAAATAATTTAATATTTTATAGGGATCAAAAAATAGGGAAATTGTTTTTCGGGAAATTATTTTCTGTGGGAATTTTTTTTCTGGAGAATTATCTTCCGGGAAATTTTTTTCCGGTGATTTTTTTTGAGGAATAAATTTCCAGAGATTTTTTTCTGGGATTTTTCCGGGGAACTATTTTCCTAGATTTGATAAGAAGTTATAAAAACTTGTTTTTTAAATTATTTTATACACACTACAATTAGTATTTTCAATAAAAAAATTTATTCTACCTATATTTTATAAGAATTTAGGCTGAGCCTAGTTTTTAAATTTTATCGAATAGTTCAAACATATGACCCTGCCGAATGGGAAAGAGCTGGCCGAAGGCCAGTTAAGGGGGATTGTGGGCGTAGCCTTACATAATTTTCCCACCTATAGGAAAATCCTAAATACGTCACTGCAACCATGCCTTTCATTCGATAACAATCATTTTATAATTTTTAAAATTAACTAACTGTGAAAACAAATATTTGACGCCACGTTATCTATGCTCACACAAAATTTAATCATAATAAGTTACTATTATAATATCCAGTGCTATTATTCGCTTTATTGCCCTAACACTGTTTATTACTGAATCCTTTACGATTTTATCTCTTTGAATAAATTATTCAAGCTCCCTAGATTTTAGTTAAGAACAGGATCAATTTATTGACCTTAATCTCATAATAATGAATTTTTATTCTTAAAAAATGGCTTCTAGAACTTTTACCACTCTCTCCTTCAGTCCCGACGGTGAGACACTTCTCGCCGCCGGCGATTCCAAATATGTCTGCCTCTACTCCTACCTTTATTCTCGTTCGCCAAATTTAAAAAGTAATAGTACTTCGACGGGTGCGGCTCTCTTGAAGAGGTTCGAAATAACTCAAAACAAATCGTTTGACCGAACGCGGGACGACGCTACCCTGAATAGACGCAAAATGACGGAATTCGGTATATTCATTTACTAAATCAATTCATGCAAGAGATACGAATTCATATATTTAAATGATAAAAACATAAAGTAAGAATCGTATCGGCAACTAGGTGAAAAAAATTATAATTCATTTTAAACCATTATCCAGGCAACTTAGATTCCGAAAACTTTTTGCGCGATACCACCGCTCTCCACGATGCCGAACGTGGGGGCTCTTTAACAAACGCTGCTCTCAATTTGCCTGGGGTAAAAAAGCATGGGGTTGACCGATCTTCTCGGTTTTTTAGGCCTGAAATACGCGTTGCTTGCGCTCGATTTTCGCCCTCAGGTTTGTATTGTTTAAAAAAAATCCAAAACAAATGATATGTGACTCATTACTAAATCCACGGAGGAGGCATTTAAATGCCCCAAATATGTATGGCAAAGGCATATTGTTTACTAGGATTAGTTTATTGTGATCACTAGGGTTAGATTAATATATGAACCCATTTTATAATCATTATAATAATAATTCTGACGTGCCACTTATTTTGGTTAGTTAATGTAAAATATAAAAATACGTCTTGGACAACGAATGACTTATTTTTAATTACTACTTACATATTTTTTTTATAATAATCAATTAACAATTAATTATAATCTGAACGGTAAAAAATAAAATAATAATATAAACAATTAATTTTATTAAAACAATTTATATTTAAAAAACAGTATTTTTAACATAACGGTAACAATCAAATTATTATATGTAAAGGTCGGTCATTTTCCTTGGCCTCTACTGAGGGTTCTCTTATTTACTCCTTAGATTCCTGGAGGAATCCCATATTTGATCCACTTAGCCTCGATTTAGATCTGACACCTGACAAAGTTAAAGAATTAATGACGCAAGATCCACCGCTTTACACAAACGCCTTGGTCGGATGTCTCAGGCTAAATTCCCAAGAACTCATCAGGGAAGTTTTAGGGGGCGTCCCTCTCGATAAAAGTTTTTTATTTATCTTTCTCTACTATTTTTTATTTAGAACCAACATCCTTACAAGATGCCCAAAAATTTAACCATTCCTTAAATCGCAATCAAATAGTTATATTAAAGTATCTACATTTATATGATTTTTAATATCAAAGTGCACTGAACTCGATTTCAGTTCTCGTTCAGAAAAATTCCAAATCGGCCACAACCTTGGTCCATACAAACATATTTACGATATATACCTTATTCTCAATCCTTATTTTAGACTTAAATATTTTATTTTTTACTAGTTGATTACCTAACATCTACAATACCTCTCCTTTATATCTTACCCTTGGTAACATTTGTGGCTAAAGAATCAGAAGACTCAAAGAATGTAGAATTTTACCTACGATGGTCCTACCAACTCTTGTTACAGCACGGAGCTTTAATGGCATGTGGTCCCGATAAGCTCAAATTCTTACCTCTATTTAATTTACTTCAACGATCCATTAGCCATAAATATGAGTCCTTGAAACGAATGTAAGCTAATAATTTTAAATTCATTTATGCTGACTGTGAAAAAAATTTTACTGAAATACCATTGGTTTACCTAGCTTGAAATTTTTATTTTTATACCAATATTATATAAAGTTTTTTTAATACAAATTATGGATATTTTAAAATTGCTCTAATACCCTTTCCTTCAGTCTAACTTATATTCAATCATTTTAATTTTATTAATTTAATAAATGTTTATTTTTACATTTTTTAGATGTAATAGCAACAAGTTTTATTTGGATTACGCTAAAGTTTTGGGCAATTTCCCGCCAGCCTTCACATCCGATCTTGCAATGCAAAAATAATATTCTTTAAATTAACCATAATATTGTTGAATAAATTGTTAAACTCTTTCATTCCTTGATTTGTATGATATAAGATAGTTATATTTGAAAATAAAACATGGATAAAAATATTTTGAAATTTTTTTAATTAAAATTAACATATTTATATACCAGTCAATCTATTTAAAATATAATATGGGCTGATTAGCAAGCATATGTATTGCTGTTAAATGGCTAAATTTGAGGCGATTTTTAAAAACAGCTAACTCAATATTTTGACCTGAAATAAGTCTCGAAATTTCGTTAATAGATAACCAAAACTTTTTACCATCTATGAGCAAATTCTTCAGGCTTGCGTAATAATTATCTGGATAAAATATTGTGTCCGTCGTTTTTAAAAATCGGCTCAGCCGTTTAACAATACTACATATATGTATGTTTTAGTAATGTAAATGTAAATATTGACACATTTGAACGCTTAAGGATAAGGGCCAAAACTACTATTATAAATAGTGTTCTAAACTAACGTCAAAGAGTAACGTCGCTACTGACGGCGTTACCTTGAAGAAAAGGAACTCCATTCGTTACATTCTTCTAGTAATAACGGTAACACAGTTTCTTTTTGAATAACGGTAACGCAAAATGTTACTCGTTACTTCAAATTTTTCTTAAAAAAATTTGGGAAAACAAATTTTATTGTATCATAAATTACTTTTATTTAGTTTTAAATTTTATAAATAATTTAAGCCGAGCTTTTAATTCACATCAACCATCAAATTCCTTGTTTTTTATTTTAAATTTTCCTTATTCCTTGTTTTTTATTTTAAATTTTCCTTATTCCTTGTTTTTTATTTTAAATTTTCCTTGTTAAATTTTTAGTCAAGATTGTTAATCTAAATTAATATTGAATCAATAAATATATGTTATATTCCATATTAAATCAACCAAAAAAAGTCAATTCTCAACCGGACCCTCTTCAATTTTTTTTAAAAATTTGTATGTTGGTAGTATATACACTAACTAATAAAAATGTAAAATTTTACTTTTCAAATCGGCTTACTTCATGAGATATGGTCATCTTTAGAAACGCGAAAATTCCAAAATACAGTATATTTAATTTTAAATATCTCAAAAAGTAATTAAGCTGAAGGCATGATTTAAATTTTATTAAATAGCTCTAATATGATATAAAAATTATTTTATTAATAAAAAGTTTATTACCAAAAACCGGAAATAGAAAACCGAAAATAGCTATAAAATAAAAATTGCTCTTTTTTTTCTTTCAAATTTTTTTTACAAATAGATATTATACTTCTTAATATTTGTACAAAATTTTAGATTGGGACCATTACTGGGCCAATAGTTATTACGCTTTAAATATAAATAGTATGGCTTAAATCCTAAATTATACCAAATATATAGTAATTTAAGAAACAAATAAAAAGAAAATTCCTTTATGATCGAGCCGATTGTATTTTTTTTATAAATGTTTCGGGCTGTGAGTCCACTAGTAGACATTATGTCATATTTAACATAAGTTTAGCGATTTTATTTTAGAGAGAAAATAATTGTAAAAATATTTATAACTTTATTTAGCTAATTATTTATATTACATGAATATCAAATGGAAAATTAATATTGTTATAAACATATTAAATTAAATAATATCATACATTAAATTATCTAATGAATTAGAATAAACGTTTGACTTTCATTTTTCCTTCCATTGGAATAAATGAATGATATTTTTGTGTCCCGGGAATTAGTTTGGCCGTTAAAAATCTATTTTCGAGATTGGTTTTTTGTACTTGGTTCCTTTTTCCATTAACTTTCATTGATATAAAATTATTCATACGTGGCATAAGTCTGCTGTTTTCGTCAGAATTATAAAATTCTATTACTTTATTTGCAATGTCATCCGTAATTATTCTACTTGGTTTTATGATATTTGGGTTTGACAAAACACCCTTTTCTTCAGCTAATTGTTTAGCTGTCCGGGCCATAAAATTTGTGGTTGAAAATTCCTTTTCAATTTTATCAAGAGTCCAAGATTTGTAAAACTGTTAATATTTGTATTTTTTCATTGCAAGAACTTGTAGCAAATTTTCAGTTGATTTATGATTTCGGCTTCATCTTTTTTTGCTTGATCCTCTAGATTTATTTTAAAAACTTTTTTAAATTTTCCCTGAATTTTCAAAAATTTATTTACAGGATATTTTTTTTCTTTTTAATAGGTGTCTCCCCTAAAAATGGCAAAGTTTCATTTAAAGTTGAAATTGAAGTATTAAAATATGTATAAGAGATTGGATTATTGCATGGTTGATCAGGTTCAGAATCGCTAAATGTTTCATTAATAGTTGAGGTAGAAGGTAAGTTAAAAATAGAAGGTAATGTGATCGGGATCGTAGAAGTAAAAGGTAAGATCAGATTTGTTGAATATTTTTTTAATTTTTTCCGGCAAGAGCTACAAATTTTTTGATTAATTGATGAGCTAGAATTCACTTCTATCATCCATTGTAAAGCATTTCTAAGATCGTAACGTACTGAATGAGATTTTATTCTAAAGGGTTTACAGCACTTTACTGGAATAGAAATAACTTTTCTAGACATTTAAATTTTTTTGGTAAGGAATAAAAGATAGCTATTAATTTTATATAATTATTTTAAATTAAAAATAAATTGGATAATGAATACCGATAATTTAATTTTCTTAGAAAAATGGCTTTATAAAATTAATCAATAAAAATGACGGCTGTTGCTGTTGGAATTGAATTTGATTTTTATGATAATTATTTTATTTGATAATTAATTATAAGTAGAAAATAATCTTTATGAAAATATATTTCTGATGATCACAAAGATAATTTTTTATCCGGCAAAGAAAATAATCGACATAATTCACTCATAGCAAAAATCTCGAATTTAAGAAAAAATTTTTTTTGGGGGGGGGGCGAATATAAATCTTAAGATGGGGTTCGGATTTCAGTTTTAATACTATTATTCACAAATATTATCACTTTTGTTAAAAAAATAATTACTCATTTCGTATAATATAGAATTTAAGCCATACTATTTATATTTAAAGCGTAATAACTATTGGCCCAGTTATGGTCCCAATCTAGGATTTTGTACAAATATTAAGATATATAATGTCTATTTGTTAAAAAATTTTGAAAGAAAAAAAAAGGGCAATTTTTATTTTATAACCATTTCCGGTTTTCTATTTCCGGTTTTTGGTAATAAAATTATTTTCAATATAATAAATTTTATATCATATTAAAGGGCTATTCTAGAGTTATTTAATAAAGTTTAAATTATACCTATAGCTTAATTACTTTTTGAGATATTTAAAATTAAATATGGTGTATTTTGAACTTTTCGCGTTTCTAAAGATGGCCATATCTCACATGAAGTAAGCTGAGTTGAGAATTAAAATTTTATATTATTGCTAGTTAGTGTATATACTACCATCATGCAAATTTTTAAAAAAAATCGAAGAGGGTCGGGTTGAATCTTCAGTTGATTTGATATGGAATACAACATATGTAAAATTATATTCTCATTAATATTTATTTTATAAAGAACAATTGTACATTTTCTTCTGAATATGAGTAAAGCCTGCCTTACCTTTAATATGAAACCTTACACAAAGTTTACACTTTGTAAGTGTAAATTGTGTCCCAACTCATAATTTTAACCTCAATTGTGGAATAAACATGGCATCCTCCAAACTTATGCAGCCATTTTTAAGAAACTAAAACTCCGAAAAATTGGTATAGTGTTATTAAGGAGAATGATCACAATGTCGAATCTTGTGATAAATCCATATTACAGAGATTTTCAGATAATGACAAGTCGTTCATAGATAAATTTAGAATAGCTATATATATGATTTTATAAGTTATGGATCCTTTTCCTACGGCTCTTTCGATTTTAGAGAAGAAAAATCATTTGGATCTCACTCCTACTATAATTAAATGGCTTTGAATAATTTCATTTTGTAAGCCACTTATTAATGCAATTCTACAAGACAAAGATAATATAATATATACAGTTGAAGTGTTGTTCACAATTTATATTTTGATAATATTTTACTTCAATTGAATATATATTAGTAATAATTCACCCACTATGACTCTTGTAAAACTAGATGCCGCAAAGGAAGGAAGCTTGAACTTATTTTAGGTTTGAGAAAAGATCTTGACAAAGAAAAGGCAAACTTGGCTTTAGGAAATAACACACATACAGATTAATTTGTAATAAAGAATAAAAAGATTGGATGAGGATCTAATGAAGATTCTTTTGACGATGAACAAGCTTTTTTCAAATAAAATTATTCCTTAATTTTATATAAATTCTTATTTTTTACATAATTTTATTTATATTATATTTATAGGGAAAATTTGAATTTTTATATATTCTATTTTTTTAATAACGAGTAACCGTTACTTTTTTGAATAGTCAGTAACGCGCGTTCCTTTTTTCACAAGGTAACGAGTAACGCGTTCCCTTTTTCAGACATAACGAGTTTCTTTTTTGAAGTAACGTTTACAACACCTGTTATAAACATATATTGATTATAGGTATCGCGTCATTACAGAGAAACCATTACAGAGAAAACATTTACAGAGAAACTTTTACAGAGAAAACAATTAAAGAGAATGTCGTTTAGAGAATTTTTTTATAGAGAATTATTTAATAGAGAAACTTTTACAGAGAAAACAATTAAAGAGAATGTCGTTTAAAGAGAATTTTTTTATAGAGAATTATTTTATAGAGAATGTATTTTACAGAGAAACTTTTACAGAGAAAACAATTAAAGAGAATGTCGTTTAAAGTGAATTTTTTTATAGAGAATTATTTTATAGAGAATGTATTTTACAGAGAAAACAATTAAAGAGAATGTCGTTTAAAGAGAAAACTATTATAGAGAATTTTTTATGTTTAAAGAGAATTATTTTATAGAGAATTTTTATAAAGAATATGATTATTTTATAAAAAATTTATAACGCTCTCAAAAATAATTATTGAGCTTTTGGTGTAATTTTGAAATTCAAAAATAGAGATTTGCAGTGTCAATTTTACTCTATTTTA